ATATCCGAAATTTGTTTTGTTTGTAAACTAAAAAATGACACTGAAAAAATATTTACTTATTCAAAATAACAGTGACTGTATTCTAATTCACGAACAGCTATCAATATGAGATATCTCTAAATCTTTTTAAGAATACGACTCACATCATCTACTATAATTTGAAGTAAAAGATCATCTAATTAAGAGTAACAGTATTTCATCTACTCCGAGATTATCACAAATATATTCTAAAAAATTAGAAAATTATCTATTAGTCTAAAAAAATCATGCTCTGAAATTCAATTCTAAGCATGAATTAAAGGTACATGAAAAGATCGGTAAAGAATTAATTAACCGGTATGATGGTCGTCGATTGAGCTGTTCGCGACGCCGTCGTGCCTCATCATCACTGATTATTTCTTCGTTCGACTGATTCTGTAAGATCACTTTTGCGAGGACTTTCAGCTGAAAATGCAACACACCAAAATGATTCGACAATAACAAACATGTAAATCTAAGAGTATTTTAACAAATAAACAAAATTACATATCAGAAAATCAAAACACAACAAAAAAGGGGAAAAAATCAGCTTCTAACGCAAATATCCGGTAACATCATTTAGTTTCTAAAATAGGGAATTATTTCAGATTTTTATAAAATGTATTTTCAGACCGAGAAAGAGAACTGTAGTTAACCAGACACGGGATGATAGTTTATTTATTTAGCTTCCACTTTTTTCTGAGGAATCCTCAAATGAAACAAAAAAAGAAAAAATTTCCAAAATATGGAAAAATACGGTGTACTGAAATATGAAATGTAATTTTATTAATGTCCAGAGCTACGCCATTCTCCTTCACAGAATAGTTAGTATGCTCATTAAAGCCATAATACATCAAGCATGGCTAATTCACATTCATAACATACTTCAGAACACGGACTATATTTCGAATTGATTTCACGATCCGCAGTATTATTTTTCGCAAGTGACATAACATCATGACGCACACTTTTTTAGTGCTTATGCAGATATCAGCTTGTTAACTTAAAGCTTCATTTAGAAATTTTCTCAATGCTACTACTCGTTACCGCCCACAATTTAATGATTTCAGTTAATGACTGTCTATCTCTGACAGTAAATGGAAATCCTTACTTCTCAAATAAAATATACTTACCACAAAACACTGATTACGCTCAAAAGAGTCTAAAGCAATACTTTTAATGCGTACTAATATCATGCGTACTTTATCTTCCCATCATATATTTACATATTTACATGGAGAACAATGCTCTACCTTCCTAATGATTGCAGAAACGAAAACTGAAAACAGTTACCGCTTCTGGTTCGCTTGTTGATGGATTATGTATAATGGATGGCTCGCGCGACATTGCTTTTGTTCCTTCTTTTTTACTGCTTTTAACGCATATTTTCTCTGCAATAATGCTAGCATGATTTGCGAAAAAAACACATCCGTTTCTGATAACGTAGTACACAACATATCACCTTCTTTCATACATTACTGATACCAAGAAAGAGATCTGACATGCAAAGATTTGTCTTTCTAGAAGGAAATATTGACAAACAATTAAAATTAATCAAACAACTGACTAAGCACCTACGAAAATAATTGAAAATATTTCTTTTCCTGTCTTTATATATATCTGAAAGATAAAAATAGAGATACAAGCGAAGGCAAAGAAGAAGAAGGAAGGGAGAAAGGAATGAAAGTTCAATTAGGTTCAGCACTACTACTGACATATATGTTTATATTTATATTTGTATTTATGCTTATATTTATATTTATTTTATTATATATATTACTATTTATTTATTTATTTATTTATTTTATTTAGGAAACGACGAGAGAGAGAGAAAGACAAGATCTTCAGAAAACAATTCATCAACAGTATTTGTGTCTTTTTCCACATCATCTTTGTATTATTTTTTGTTTTATCTCTATATAGATTAACTCAATGGCCCTAGATGCTCTTATCCTTAAATGATTTATATGTACATTATTAAACAACAGCGCTAACAACAAAATTTTCTCTCTCTCGAGCAATTTAACCTAAGTCAGAAATTATTTCTCCGAGATACCTAAATTTAAGTAACGAAATTTGGTTTTAAATTAAATTCAACAAATCTAAAAAAAATCATCCGGATAAAATTAACAAAAAAAGAACTAACTAGAATAGTTCATCTAAAAATTAAATCAAACTACAATAATTTGAATCAAGTAAAATCTAAATAATTTGAAACTTCCTTAAGAAGAATGAGATCATATTTCTTGATCTTTAAAAACGAACTATAAGCTTTCAAATGTATAACAGTCTTTCTCTTCTTCCATCTTTCAAGTATCATATTTTTATAATCTATATTTCAGAAAACTGCACTAAAACTTTTTTTATTACTAAAACTTTCCAAAACTGCTGTAAGTATTAAGAACGAAAGTGAATGGAACACTAAAAATTGCCCTTGCATTCATTGATAGTAGAATTCCTTCATTCGAATCGCAATAAATGCAAACTGAAAACAAATCATACAACAAAAAATACTATCAAAGAGTGAATATCCCTACTGCCAAATAAATCTACACAACAGGAAGATTGCCATTTTATAGAAAAAGTTTCTCGCTATCCGAAAATAAAAAAAGAGAATGGTGAATGAAGTGGCGTAGGAAAGAATAAAATGGGAGAGTAAAAGATGCCTACTAAACAGCGTTTGAGACTGCATTACACAGAACTCTTATAGAGCTATAAAATTTCAACAGAAATCCTATGTATCCTTGACAGCACTCTTGTTTCATAACAATGTCAAGAATGAATTAGTGGCCGGTTTACTTTTTGTTTTTTAAATAATTTGTGGATTCAACTTTGTTTGAATTTAACTCAAAATGATATCGGCATGGTACAGAATCACTGAATATTAAATGACATTTGTACGATATGGTAGCAAAAACTATATGAAAAAGTGAAATATTAATAAGAAGTCAAATAACTATTTTCGGTTTCTGCTTCACAATGTATTATTCTCATGATTTCTGAATAATCAAAAGGCATAATCCGGAAAATCCTCCGATATGGTACAGAATCATGGCAACCATAGCCCCCGCTCCCCCCTCCCTTACATCATTGAGGATGAAATATAAAATGATGTCACCCAACACCGTAACCTGAATACCATCGGCCTCATGAACATCAAACTATATGACGCGGCCCAACAAGACCAACACGTTACGACGTGCAACATCAATATCTCTATCTTTCTATTTCATATAAAGTTAAAAAGAAAGTACGGCGGAGGATGAAGCAATCTTTGAAGATTTGTTGTCTATCGAATTTTCATGCGAACATGTTGGAAGATCCTCTATTTGACTTTGACTGACCGAACATGTAAACATATGGGAGTCATAAAGACATCACATCTGATTATCCAATCATTATATAAAATCTCTTTACGAAAGTTGATACAGATCTTTCACTTTAGATTAGCGAGTGTATCCTGAATAATCTACGATTGTGAATCCGATCTTCTAGTGCAACAATGCGAATTAATATGAATATTTACTTCAGCTTAATGAGCAATAGTAGTAGCAAATATATATGCAATTGCAGTAACTGTTCTTTTGATTTGAACATAATGGTGATAAATTAAAATTCATAGATCTTCATGTGGCATCTTTTTAGACTTGAGTTCTGGATCAACTTCTTGTACATACCATTGGAATGATTTGCAGTTCAGACTTTCCTTCAACTTGAAACGCTCACTGAGATCGCCGACTTCCATCCCCTTAGCATCCGGTTGTTTCTCATAGAAGTATTTCTAAGAAAAGAAATTAGTAAAGGTTAAAAGCTCAAGAAGTGTGTGTGTGTGTGTTTTCATCTTTCATGTCACTCAAAATGTTATTCTGATACGGAAAACAAAAAAAAATTCCAAGAGAAGGTATATTCGTGATGATAAGATAGAGAAACGATTAAAGATAACTTTAAGTATATAACTTTTAGTAAATCGAGCTTAAACTTGAACTGATTTTAAGTAAATATTTTTGGGGATTTAGTCATATATGTTCTGTTACAAAAATATATTATTGCATTTGTAGTACCGTAAAGTTCGGAAGCATATGTACGATATGTACGAGGTGAAAAATTAAGGAATTAATATAAAACACTTAGAACTACGGGATTACCACAAACATTCGGAAGTGTTTCTCATGGTAAAAAGACTACAGTTGTAGCACATTATTGAATTAATGATACCAGCCGAAGTTATTTTCACTCGCCGAATCGTACTACTTTGACTGGGTAAAGTATTGAAACTCTAGAACAAATTTAACGAAAGACAATGTGAATTGAATGGCAAATTTTCCATCATTTTTAGTACAAATAAAAATAAAGCATCGACTTACATCATAATCATCGAACCAAACTTTAACTGTTCGCACCGAATTATACAGCTTTGAATCCAGACCAGGCTTATTCTTATATGGACGATGCGTACGAAACACGTGGCCAACGTGACTACATGGTGCCACTAAGATGGATCCACCGCAAAGCCATATCTGAATTTCTGGATCTGAATAATTTGGTTAGGTACTAAGTGATATTTTCATGCTAAAATCGATTATAACAACATTCTGGACTGATTGACATTTTTGATATCAATGTCGCAGCTGTGAATGTCAGGCAAAAAACATCATTATTACAACAAGCTAATGTGGAAATTATGAGTTGATCACAGCTCTCCATTGGAGAACTTTTCACTTAATATTAAGTATCCTTATAATGCCATCAAACAAATTCAACAGCATCATCATTATTAATAATTCAGTCTATATGGTGGTACAAATGTATACCAGGCTCATTTTGCACCGCGCATCAGTTTTGAAAATATTCTTGATAACAATGTCAAATCTTCAGATTTATCAGTTGCTTAAAGCACTTAAGATGTTACGGCTAAGAGACATTAACGTATGGAATAGAATCTGCGAATGTTTTAAATTCGACGAACCCGAATGGACATTTCGATATTTTCAACTCCCCAAATCTCCATCCCGGTATCGTATTCACCCATTGCATGAAAATACTTACGATTAATTGCCAGCAGACCACCTGACATCGTCGCTGATCTATAAACAAAAAAAAATCTTTTTCTCAAAAATATCTAGAACTCTTTCTTTTTTCAGTACAATATATAACTTGCTCATAAACACGATGTTTTACCTATAGTGATATTTGTCGAAGAAAGCGTTAAAGTATCTTGCCATGAAGTTATTCCATCAAATTCACTTGTTCCATAAATTTCAGAGTATAATTCAAATGCTGTTAATTTTAGAAAATGTTATCTTATTTCAACTCAGTTTAGAAAGAGCGATAATTACATGTTTTGAAAATAAAAATCATTTTGCAAAGTAGTGGACGACATTCCGTGGCGTGCAGTACTATGGACCGAAATCCTCAATGACATTGCTGGGTGGCTTTCAAAAAAAGCAAGAAAATAAAACACTTGCCGAAATGGTTTAACGTTGTTTTCCGGTAAATCCCAGTACTCCCAGGGAATATATTTCCATGTGAATGTAAGATCCCAATTAAATGCGCCTTTTGTTATCATTGCTTTCGAGAATTCAAACGTTTTTGCACTAATTAAATCAACGACTGGAAGAACAACTCTGAATTTTTCAATTTTATCTTCCATGACTTTGAAGTCATTTAATCAAACATCAAGATAAATAGAATATGCTCACTCATCTTTTAGTCCTAATTTTTTATCTTGCTTGACCACTAATTATTTTTTCCTTATAAATGATCTTGCTGAGCAGCAAAACTGTTTATATTTTAAAGACAATTCTTTTAATGCAATTTTTCCATTCTATCCATTAAACCCTTGTCTCAGATACTCTTATTCATTATTTGGTGGTAAAATAGGCTTTAAACTTGTTATCGATTCAAAAAGAAAACTTATTTCGAAAAAACTTACAGCACGAGGTAAAAGAAGGATAAAACGATTGGTAAGCTAAAGTTTGAAATTCTTTAAATAAAGTTCAGCTCTATTTTCATAGTCTACGGATTCGTGTATAGAATTAGTATTAAATAAGCAATGCAACACATATTTCACCCTCAACCTTGTGGAATCTTCCTGAATTGGTAGCAGTAAAGGTTCGATCCATAACGGAGTTACTTCGCAGTGACTGTCCAAAAATATGAGAACGTCACCACGAGCCACACGCGATGCATAGACCTGAAAAGAAAATAACTGTTATCAGGAAACAAAAAAGGTTGTTAGCTATCACTTCATTCAGAATCTTTGCGAATCAAAAATCTGCCTAAACTGGAAACAAATATATTCTTAAAATTAGTTGAATTTCCCTTTTTAAAATTAACTACATTTCTGATAGAAATCTCAAAAACTAGATTACTTAACTAATAAATTAGCTTCGCAATAAAAAGCCTGCAGATGATATCTGATTAAAAAAGCTCAACCTTGGACTTGATAAGTCCTAATCGTTCATCACTTCGACGCATGATTATCTTTTTCATTGGCCACTGTACATGATTGCCATATGTGATAATGTGATTAATAAGTAACGTATCATAATCGCTACAATCGTCGTATAATATAATCTCTTTAAGGAGCTTAGGCGGAGTATGATCGAAAATACTATTTAGCATACGCACTAATACTGATAATGCTTCATTATGATAAATAATGACTATGCTTACAGTTAAATTGATATTGCGAGGCAGAGATTCACATCTGAAAATAAAATAAATAGACTTCAAAATATCACTTAATAGGCAGGTTTTGGAATGGAACTTTTTAATGAAACTGAATTATGATCAAACCTATGCCAAATCATAATCTGCAGCTAGAAAAAATGATAATCAATCCCGGAAATGAATATCTGTTTAGCCAGTGATTGAGAACAAGAGATAAGTTGAATTAATCATGAAAAACAGTTCTGGATCACGATTATAACAATATCCCATGAAGGAGAAATTTCAGATTGTAAAAATTCTAGAAATCCTATTGAAAATGATGAAATTTACAAGGATTTGAAAATTTAGTGATCAATTTCTTACAGTTCGTGATAAATAGGTGATAATTTACGACGTGGTCCTATTTTATCACTTGTCAATATGTCGTAAGCAAATTTTTTAGTACCCCATTCGTATCGTTTTCTTTCTGCCTCACTTGCTATCATATGACTCTTCTCTGGAGTAAAAGGATCGCAATTGCTAACATTAGGATCAATTGTTGACCAAGCAATTACGCTGGAATTATTGCATTACACATTCATGATATCACTTGACAAAGTATATTTACCTACGAAAATGGAAATAAAAAATGGCATCTCAGATAGCGCAACAGATGCTCGATATTTTACTTTCCAATTATATGTTTTAAAAAATACGAAAAAAAACTAACAAATGAAGTTAGAGGAAATAACTAAGCTATTGTTAAAATGTAGCAGAAAAAAAAACTTAAATGGAAAAGACAAAAGGGTTTCGAAAATTTAAAAATATATGAAACTTACTCTAAGTATGGGTCCACATATGGGCATTTTTTCAGTATTGCTTCATTGTTTTTTAACTCATCTTCATTCAAAATAGTCGACTCTTCTTCCTCTGATGTCTTCACAACGGTAAGTTCAGGAATATTAGCTTCATCGGCAACCGCAACATTAATATATATAAAATATTGAAGAAGTAACGAAAGAAAAATATTTACCAACAACATCAGCAGCAGTGTAAAATGAAAAGAAAGACGACAATGACATTGAGATGAGAGAAATCATTCAGTCACGATCGAACAGAACGATGGTAATGCGTGACGGAAGAATGGAAAGCGTATGTGATTGACAGATGAATGATCCCAAATGTACTCCTCAAAAACTACATCACTTCATTTAAAAATTTACTCCTGCCAATATCTGTTTTTAGGACAGCAATGCAAACGATATAAAGATGTAGTAATTGGAAATTAGCAGAAATTAATCCTATATTTTAATAGTTGTTTTCATCAGATAACAACTAGGCTTCCATATCATCATTTTGCTGAGGTATTTGGAAAATTAAAAGAACTTTCCAGATACCTCGTAAAATCTTGCAAGATAAACACCTTTCATGATTCTAGCGACTTTTTTTTCACAATTAACCACTAAAAATTAGGGAGAGCATTGAGATGTCGCAACAAATGACTTGCAGCAGACACCGTTCCCGACAGTTCCTCACCTTTTATCAGTCAACATCAGCAACTTATTGTGACATGCATTAGAAATGTGAAGTAAACCAAAAATTTTTCTAGTTTAACTAAACGAATTTGAAAATTCTTTCGAAAGCCGCACTTAGGAACTCCAAAGCTTGAAAATTTATAAGAAACAGTGAGATCTCAAGCTTTTTTAAGAAATTTTATCCCAAAACAAAAAAAATAATCACCATATATACAGGTAGGTTTAATAATGGAACAAAAATCGCTCTATTCACAGAACAATTGATTGAATGAACAGTTGTAACGAATGACATCAAGGAATGTTAAAAAACAGAGACCAAAAACAATTTTCCATGATGACTACTTTCAACTCTGGTTCCGTCCTGGAACGACATCCGTTACACAGTAAGAAAGAATTTCCAAACAAATAGGTCACTCAGTTAGCAAGCGAGGTAAATATAACTGTTAGTTATCAACAATGCAAAATTAGATTACCAACAACCTGAATTTTCCACGCTACAGCCAGGTAGATGATATGGCAATTTTTAAATATTTGAGAAAAGCGCGAAAACTGGGTATTTTTAACTGGAATATTAGTGTCACTATTTCCTGCTGCGAACTATTTTTTCTTGATCTTTATCCTCTTTACAAGAGATATAATTAAGAATCTAGTCAAAAACCACATCGTTGAAAACAAAATATGTCCGGCAGGAGCTACATACAAATCTGACCAAACGCGAAAAAATGATGTTATACCTAAATTTGTCATCGTAATAATTTAAAGACTAAAAAAATTAGTAAAAATACACGCTGAAGGATCAGACAATGATCGAGGTCCACTGTTTTAACTGCATCAAAGACAGGTGACTTTGTAAATAAATTGCCGGAAGGATATAATAAAAGGTGAAACAGAAAGCCCATAGTTACACAACGAAATTTTTAGATGAAATTGTCAAATGTAGTGGAAAAAGTGAAAGAGAAAATCTTGACTAATTTATTTTTTTTTGCATCGAAAAAGCAGGGAATGACTTCCATATGGAATTAGATAATCAAACATGACCTGATTTTCTATTGCTTACATTAACAATCACCAATGAATCAATTTGTACAATGCGATACAGTCTGATTAGTTCAAGACTTATGAACTCTGCCTTTTCTATACAACTTGAAATACGTTTTTCAACGACTAATCGCAAGCTTCTGGTCCTTCTAGTTATTATTCTAGCCTGAACCGTAGGTTTTTTGAGGTCTCAAGCACGGCCAATATTAACACCGGTAATACAAAAAATAAGTACATCACACTTTTTGATGCACCCGGATTGTTCATCTATAAAATCTACAGTAGAAGGAACTGATGAAATAAGCAAACAAAAGAAAAAGGCAACGTTAAATAAATATAAGCACACGAAGAACAAGCGTTTATAATTTAGATATCGCAAAAAAGTAAATCTCAAAATTATTTAAATCAAACTTAGTTACAGTTCACCTGCAACAAGTGCCTTTACATTATTATTTAAACCAAACTTAGTTACAGCCCTCCTGTAACGAGTACATTTACATTATCTTGAATTATGTTTTTTATCTTATTCTTGAGCTTAATTTGAAAAATTTTTTTTAAAGTCTGAAATTTAATTTTTTTTTCATAACTATAATGTTCTCGAACAATCAATAAAAATAGTGCTAAATCAACCAACTGAATGGAGAATTCCCGTAAAAATTAGTAATGTATATGCTAAAGAATATAAATACATAAATAGAGAGCATATAAAACAACCCAGCAAACAATAACCACCACAGCCTAGCCAGTGAAGCTGTAAAAATAATGAAATTATTGATGAAAACTAGTGAATTCATTCTTTTTTGACAGTTGCTGAATCATTTTACCCATCATATAAGAAAATAATGAGCCATCAAATGTCTTATGTGAAAATAAAAATATAACACCGACCACAATTACAAATACAATCAAAATTAGTTTGTCAATAAGAAAAACCGGTTTATTCTACCACTTACTGCCCGCTATCAAGCACAGCTTCATCCAGGCTTTTCCGTATCACATCACCCGCTTCCGAAACCGATGCGCCACTATGCCGTCGTATTTTAGGTAATACATTTTCGTAAGAAATATTATGGTCCTTCAACAGCTGTTTCAATTTATCATTTTCTAACTGCAGCAAACTCACACGATCCGCCAGCTTACCATTAATCTTCTCTAAATGCATATATTCTCGTACAACCTGAAATTAACGCACATTTTTACCACTCTTCAACACTAATCAACTTATGTTGTTGTTTCCCTCAAAGTTTGAACTTCTATATTGATACAGCCCCCAGTACCATACACTAAAATTTGTATAAGAAATAGCTGTCACTTTACTCACAGTTCTCGTCTTATGACTGGCATATATATCTTACAGTGGTTTCTCTCTAAATAATTCTAGCCTTTCCAAAAGTTCAAAGCAAAAAGAATCAGAATGATCTCTTAGCACCCTGAAGTGAACATAATAGTGCACTAAAAAATAAGACGAAATTTAATCTCCAAACTATCTTTATTCGTCCTCTGACCATTGAAAAATACCACTATTAACACCAAGAGGTTCGAAATGAAAAACATACTTCATCCTTAGTCATATTACTAATACGTTCCATATTGACATAATCATAATCAGCATCAAATTGTCGTTCCATCTCATCATCTTCTACACCTGAATAACTCGCACTGTCTGTTGTATTACCACCCATTTCAGACCCTGAATGACCAATCGTACCAAATCTATAAGAGAACATTTTTACTGATCAATTATTAAGGAGAAGCAAAAATATGCATGCAGCAGCTTTTTTTTTTCAAATTGCAAAGGATTTTTTAGAATGTGTAAGAAATCTGCCAATATTACGACTATATAAATTAGCTTCCATTATACTCAAACAGCAACATTGATTCAAACTTGGATAAACAGATTTTCATCAGAATGAATGGAAGGGGAGGAGGGATTAAACTTTAACCCACCTTTCCCATTAAGGAAGACCTTTTTCGTCAACCACTACATTGATTTCATACACCATTCAAAATCCTCCTATTTATAACCAATTCTCTCTATGATGAAATAATCAATACCGCAGTGTCATTCTGAAAATGTCTGTCCCAAAGACATCAGAATAAGTGAATCCCTACCCCAACCCCGAACTGACGGAACATTCGGCCAGCTTCGTTACCAGCACTATTATCATTCCCAGCAGTTATTATATTTCGGCAATTTTCAAAGCCAAGCATGCGGTGCTCAGGAACTGAATGACTCGCCAAATCGACTATATGAAAATCTGCTCGCCTTTGGAGATTTTCAGAGTCGATCGAAAACGGGGCGTAGCACATGCGCGTATGTATGTGAACGTACGTTGTTGTCGCAATACGCTCATCACATTTTTTTTATAGCATAATTGCAAACAACGTCTAGAAAAATTTGGAACTGCTTTAATCTTTCAAAGAAAAAATTTTATTCACTTATATTTCAAATGTCACCGACTGTTAAACACGTGATTTCGCGTGTGATGTCACACAACACTATTCCCTTTCCTCAAAAAACAGTCACTGGTTTGTTTGAACTTATAGACGAGTGAAAGATTGCTATTAAATCCTATAATTAAATAAAAAAGGTACCAGCTAAGTAATGACAGCACAAATATTTCTTATTTACTGGGGATCATCGAAGAAAATTACATTTCACTAGCGATCAATATATAGAGTGCCACGATCAAATCTTACTGATTCTTCTGGCAACGTAATAGTAAAGCATAACTATACTTATACCAAATATCAGTAAGAATTAAAACTAACAATACAAACACATAAAGTTTGATAATAACGCTAAACTGAAGAGCATTGGAGCGCGCAATATAAATAGATTTGTGAACTGGAAAATTTATTCACAGTTAATAAGAGCAAGGAAAGTAATATAAACCTTTCACGAGTTGGTGAACCTCCTGTAGATTGCCGTTGATGTACAGCTATCCCAGAACATGAATCGCCGACATCTGGAGGCATCGTACGCTTCTCATGATCTTCCAGCAGAAACTGTGTCGTATTGTATGGTGCCATAGGCTTACCGCGCGAAAATAATCTTTAAAAAAATCAATTACAATTTCAGATTTGACATTCGAAAAGTCCGATTCGAATTCGATTTGAATTCAACCTTTTAACTCCTTTTTCAGATTCTTCTCTGCTTAATCAACAGCTGTTTCAAGAATGATTCTGATATATCCCAGGAACATCGTGAATCTCATTTTTTCTGCCTGCCACACTACAAACCTTCTTGAAGAAGAAAATAAATCATGTAAGCCCCTCATATGTTTCAAAAAGCATTGATATATTTACAAAATTTCTGAAATACTTTACTTTGTATCTATTTGTATTGTATATGGATATGGCTCGAACACATAACCTATGTGGATATGGCTCGAACGCATAACCATGCTATGTAAAATTGGAATGAAGTTCTACCTTCATGCTCACTATAACTTCATCACCTTGCTTCTCATCTTTGTTTCTTATTCCGGAAATTACTTGTAATAAAGTAAATTTCACTTTTCCCGCTAAGTTCATAATTATATCTTGTTCTACAACAATCAATTAAAATTTATAATATAGTTCTCACTTCCTCTCATTTTAACCGATCGCCAGATTTTACAAAGACCCACATATATGAAGATGTAATGTGTGCAGTATTTTCAAGGCAACTAGTTTGACAGTGCTTGAAAATCACTAATTCAATTCGATAAGATACGAATCATAAACATATCTGAATTCTATAATAAACTTGACAGGGGAAAAAACTTTTCGAAAAGGTTCTAAAAATTGTTGAGAAAATATAAAGTATTAGGTCTCGGTCTTCCAATATACACATATTCAAAAGTTCAAAATACCGATATGGCTATGTTCGGGTCACTTTTTCTTCAAATATGGAATGAAATTAACTGCAACTAAGCCAAAATTTATTATTAATGATTGAACTAAACTTGGACAGTAATCAAAACTCATGAAACAAAAGCCGAGCTACTGCAATAAATGGAAAGAAAACTCATGGAAGTTTCTCAGAATTCTCAGTCTTTCTCTCCGCATGTCTAATAACAAAAACTTTCATTGCAACTAACCTTTCTCGCTTTTCTACTGCATTTCGTTCTTCCTTCTCTTCTTGGACAATTTTTTCCTTCACTGATAATGTGTGATATGGTTTCCAGCGTCCTTTTCCACCCCTCCTATAACTTTATTCTATTTACTATAAAGAGAATTAAAGAAAATGCATAGTAAATTCTTCGCACCTATTAAAGACACAAAAACAAAAATTACTAGACCAATAAACTCTATTTTCATAATGGCTTCAAAAAATCATCCCTCATAAAAGAATTCCTAATTGAAGAGTATTCAGAAGTGAAATGTGCAAAAACGCTTGAAATGCGATAATATGTCTGAACTAGTAATAAAGCTATAGCTGAATCGATTATCACTGCTGTTAGCAATATAACATATACCTTTACCAGAGCGGAAGTTTCCAAAAAAGCACATACTCATATACTATTCGCTACCTAAACTATCATTTGTTTTCCTTTCGGTTAAAATTCTATAATTTCCATAACATCAGTGGTAAAGAAGGGAGAAAGCGCGGAATGATAAAAAGATAAACTCTTTCACAAATGAGAGAAATAAGGGAACAGGTTTTCTTGCGAAATTTCATAACTTTTGGGAAAAGAACATTCGAAAATGTTACAGAACGAAACAAAGCAAAACTGCAAACCTTCTTCGGGATTTCTTCGCTTTTGTATGTAAAGCGCTTGCCGAAAGAATCCGAGTGTCCGGAATTCTTTTGGAATAATGTTGCTCTTTCGTTAGATCTTGTTCCGCGACAGCATGATGACTTGCATCGGTGGGGATGTCAAGCGAAACTGCAACAGCAACTTCGTCATCGGTACCTTCCATCGATGCAACAACAATATTATGTTCTGGTTGCAGTTGTTGTGATAAATGCTGCTTCGAAGTATGTTCTTGGTCTTGTTGCTTATCGGGATGGTCTACGACAGTTGCAGTCATCGTGATCGTTGTCACTTAAATTAACCCGTACCAATGTCCCCAGCACAAAACGGGCTTCCGAATGATAGGTCACACACCTAGGTTCCGTAGATTTAATGTCAAAATTGAGACAATCGTCGTGTGTAAAGTTTTGCCAATGAAGGTCAAAGGTAGATAGGCTTGCACTAACCCACCGCCTCTTGCTCTTGACAACTGAATCCGATGCTGTGCTATATGTCACGAGCGTGTGCCCGAACGATCTGTCTGTGCGTGTATGTCTATGCGTATCTGTCTGTTTATTGTGGATGCACACACCCGCACGTAGTCGTCAGGAGTATATGCGTGGACGTGAGTGTGTGTGCGTGTGCCTGTGCACCAAAGAACGTTGTCGCTGCTGACTACAGCTCCGACACTGATTGCAAACACCGCCCCAAACGCTCCTTTTATAATGATAATGAGAGCGTACGCGACGCAGCAGGCACGCCCTATTACTCCGCGCGCGTTCTGTAAACAATTTTCATTAACGGATGCGAAATAGTGCCTAAGATGTGTACAAATTTCTAGTTTTGGTTCTTGAGAAATCGCGGGTAACTTCGTTCATGTTAATGACAAGGTTGTAGGAAATTGACTGACTGTAAATTTTGATATATTATTGGTTTACAATTGTTTTTGTATTGCGAAATTTACTATTCAAAACGTCTGCTGAAAAAATGGACAATTTAGGCCTGACCTTTGACCTTCAAATTAATGCACGTTCAACTCACGCTGTTATCGTCGAGTGCTTTTCGCAAAATTTGATTTGCTAGCAAAAAAAAGTGCATATAATATAGAAGATTAGATAAGTTAACTCCTCATTGCAAATTTAAATTATTTGATAGAAAAGTTCCATTCTTTCCGGAAACATGGAGAATTTCTGTATTTTTTTTCGCTAGAAGCTGTTAATTTCCTTCCTCTCAAACGCTATTCAAATCCGGAATTTCCATTTGCTTCTTCGAGCCACATTCAAAAACGCTGCGATTGTGCCAGATGTTGTTAACATACTTCGCCCCAAAAATTTCCGATTATGGCCCGAATGCAGCGAGTTCTTTTTGGTAATTAAAAAAAATTGCGTTCTTCATAGGAACATCAGCCAGTATTACCTAAGACTCGGGCAAGTAGTATTACCCACGATTTGGGAAAATATTAGTCGGAGTACTAAATCATTAGTGGAAATTGGATATTATTGGCAAAAAATGCGAAGGGATGAGACAATACATCGGGTGCAATTACGTCTAACGTCCTTTCAGTGTTCCTATATTTTCTGAACAATTAACTCTCTTGCAGATAGCCATCGATTGGATACCTTGTCAGGTACCCATAGGTTACTCACGTAATTCCGGAAGTACTCATTCACAGCACATATATTTTGTACTAACTATATAACCTTAAATTAATGCAGATAATGATGATGACGATAATGAAAAAAAAATTTCAAGCATCTCTAATTACGAAGTTTCCGATTTCCGCGACATATGTCGGTCGGTCATATCGGGTCATAAAGGTTAAGGAAGGATATTTTCGCGAAATTGGAGTTAAGTACGTATTGATGAGTTGCAATTACACAAAACTGAGGATGACACTTTTCTGCAAGTTCTTTCGCAAACTTTAACAAAATTTGCATATTGATTGAACCAATAACTATGCTCTTAATTTTACAAATTTGTATATTAATCGAATTAGGAATAATTGGTAGTGAGTTTCTTCTTGTAATGATAAAGTTTATTTGAAAATTTTGCATATTCTTAATAACTTGGCAATTTTGGAATTTTTTCAAGTCTTGAAACTTCAACATTCTTTGATTGTTAAAGATATATTGGTGTTCTTTTAATGCAATTACTCATACAACTACATTTAGCACGGAAGCCTTAGTACTTTTATAAGGAAAGGTCAAACGTTGAGAGATAAATGCATAATTGAGAAGCAAATGTTATTTTTCATAATTAGGCATTATTCTGCTGCTGGGCTGAATAAGTCACAGATGGTCTTTTGTGATAGTGGATATTTGTTTGTTCTTGACATAATTCCCAAGATTCTTGTTTTTTTCTATTCCAAAATTTATTAGTTCTTTTACCAGCTTAATCATTCACTTTCGTTGATCCCCCAGTTTTTCGAGAAATTTGATCCGTAATACACACTTTTTTACGATCATTTTTTTGCCTGGAATTGCAATCTCTATTCTATTCAAAATTATAAACATGTTGGATATGGAGGAATGTAGCGGGATAATCCGTTTGCTGATGCATTTGAAATCTCTGACGCAATCGTTTTGATTATGTCTGAGTCGTTTATGCGAAGAAGGACAGTGCCAGCTTGCTTCGAAAAACAATTTTAAACTTAAAAAAGTCTCCTTATCAGTTATGTGGAGCGCATTTCGAATATTTTTTTCATTTTGTTGAAAACCTGCGTGATAACTTCGCACATTCCTGCACAAGACTTATTATTTATAGATTAGGCAATTATACAAAGTATTCATTATCAACTATTATTTCTTCACTGTTTAGAATTTCGGAAAATATTTTAGAAATATTGATATTTGTTTCACTACGGTACAATTAACTGTGTAGGTAATGCTTTCTTCGAATGTAATTCAACTTATCTTCCACCTTTTGCAGTGTTGAAATTAAATTTCACGATTGAAAAATTAATCAAATATTTCTTCTTACTGCATCGAAAGTATTATGAATTATACATCTGCAACCAAAGCACAATTATCGTTTTTTTAACAGTATATTCAAATTGTCGAGGTTGATGAGATATAGGTTGATGAGACTTCTTTTTCCGACTTCATTTTCCCTAACCTCATTCTTACGTTACTTTCATTTTACACTCCTTCAGAATTTATAGATTACTGAAAATTCTATTCCGCTGATGAAACTGAGAAGGAATGAAAATTTTTATGAAAAAATGTCAATTTTTGTCAGTATGAATTTTTGAAGTAGAATCGTTGTCGTTGCCAAAATGACAAAATAATCAAAGTTCGATGTATGCATTCTTACTCTAAAAGTATTAAATTGGCTTTGAAAAAAGCAAAAAACATTGCATTTCTCATTACTTCTTAAATTGAACCTGCTACAAGAAATGATAATCAGTTGATCAAACGAATTGTTAGCACTGGAATTGAGTAGTTACGTAGACCAGTTAAATAAATAAAATAAGCTGAATTAATCTTCTGTCCCAGTATTTGTATTTTTCTTTTTAATAATTTGAGAATCTCAATCTGTTTTGAAGAAAACATCAGACCATATTTTTCTCAGGTATTTGCATTTAGATTATTTGCTACCACACCTCTGCTCTTCAGTGTATGCTTCGAATTAATAATTCGATAGAGACCGATTATTTAAAATTATTGCATGATATGAATTGATGGGAAGTATTTTCTGATTGATATGGAAATGAAATAGAAATATTTTGTTGAACTATTTCTGATAATTGTGTATTAGCGGGTTGCATTTCTAGTGCTATTAATGATTGGAATAGAAAGAAATATACGTTTTGGCATTTTTCACCAATTTTTTCTTCTTAAAACATTCACAGACTTTTTCATTCTCAGTGAAACGATAAATTTTCAGGCGAGTCGAAGAATGCATAGCTTGTTGGATTAATCGGCAAATTCATTCCATCCCATCTTCTTGGCACTATGTGATATGGCTCGAATTGTGTAACAAATATTAATTTATTGACAGTTTGAGAAGAAAAAAACGAGACGTATGTGCAACTATAAAAATGACGAGATAATATTATTATTACTATTACTGTTGTTATCATTATTGCTATTACTGTGATAACTGTATGGGTACACGATGATTCGTGATTAATGAATAGAAGAATTGGAGCTAACAAAAGAACTGAGCTTAATGATATAAGCATTTATCATTGTAGAGAATAATTTCCGTGAAAGATTTAACTAATGAAATGCATGCAACAAGAAGTTTAGTAAAGAGATGTGTCAATCAGTTTATCCTTCATCTGGCAATTAGTGATTTTCGGAAGGAGAGAGTTAGTCTTTGATAATGATGAGAAGTAAATAAGCGGAAGTGTAAACGTATAGCCTAACATGGACAGAAACG